TCCGACCGCGGCTCACAGTTCATCGCGGACTTCACTCGAGAACTCTGGCGTCTAATCGGCATCAAGCCAGCCACGTCTACCGCATATCATCCGCAGACGGACGGTCAGACAGAGCGCGTCAAGCAGGAGTTGGAGCAATACCTGCGGATCTTCACAAACTATCAGCAGGACGACTGGGATGAGTTGATTCCGGCCGCGGAGTTCGCCTACAACAACCATGTTCACTCCTCCACGCAGCAAGTCCCCTTCATGACGGACACGGGACAGCTTCCGCGCATGGGCTTCGAACCCGGAGTCCGTTCCGCTATGGAGTCTGTGAATGAGTTCCGCGACCGGATCGCCACTGGGGTTGCTGAAGCCAAGGCCGCACTCACCAAGGCCAAAGAGGAGTATAAGCGCTACTACGACCAGAGACGCACGCCGTCTCCGGAGTTTAATGTTGGCGACCGTGTTTGGCTGGATGCCTCTGACATCAGGACAACTCGCCCCTCGGAGAAGTTCTCCCACCGCCGCCTCGGACAGTTCAAGATAGTCGCGGAGATCAGCAGAGGTGCCTACAAGCTCGACCTCCCTCCGCGTTACTCGAAGCTCCACCCGGTTTTCCCTGTCGTCAAGCTTGAGCTCGCCCAAGACGACCCCTTTGACGGACGACCCAGCTACGACGAACCGCCCCCCGAGCTAGAGGACGGAGTCCCCGAATGGGAAGTCGAGGAAATCTTGGATGCCAGGATAAGGTATAAGCGTCTTAACTATTTCGTCAGGTGGAAAGGCTATGATGCTTCACACGACTCGTGGGTTCGGTTCGACCGTGTCTTTGCGCCAGACAAGATTGCGGACTTCTATCGGAGGTACCCGGGTAAACCACGGCACATTGCCTCAGCGACCTTCGACTCCTTGCCCTTTCGAACTATGCGCCGGGACGCCGCATTCAAAGGGGGGGGTGATGTCAGGGGAACCTCCCTTTCGGCCCCTCGGAGATGCCTCCGATTCCGGTCCGACTCCGTTTCCGTCTCCGGTTCCGTCTCCGGTCCGGCCCTCCATCTCGCCCGCACAATCACCGATCCGTCAACGCCCTCCCAACGGTCGCCCTGGGACCTTGCCTGCGACGCCGCCCAAGCCTTCTGTGCCCGACAGCGGCAGCTACGGACAAGCAGTATAGTATATAGTCAGCTCCCTAGAAGGGGGACCCTTAGAGTTTCTTCTCTTTGGATCCTCCCCTGCTAGGTCAGCTTCATTTGTATTTGCTTACCAATGTTCACGCTTTGGATCCTCCCCTGCTAGACCTTGATCTCAGGCCTCTGGGGTTGCCCTTACAGTCTTCGATCATTCTGAACGGCCGAGCGGCTTCCGCAAGCCAACAAATGATATGGCAACTAGTATTTAAGTTGTCAGCAAAATGAAGTCAATATTCAACGCTAATGACTTACCGGAACTCGGGATTTGTATGTGTGCGGTGAGAGACACCAACTGGGCGTTGACTAGCTCTTGCAAATTCAGAAAAGATATTGCCGTCTCTGCGCCCGGAAGCCTTGGTACCGTGAAGCCGCTCATTGACAATTACTTTGCCCCAGCATGAAACAGCATGCTTCTTGAGATTAGACGTGGAGGAGCGGTCACTAGAAGGTTCGCCGTTTGTCTTCGTTTGGTACCGCTTGACACCGTGAAAGCCTAGAGGCGCAGGGAGTTTGAGCCAGGTAGATAGAGGGAAGATGAAGAAGCACACCTTTACTCTTACAGCGCCGAGCCGCGCAACGAAATTCCTGATAAGTGCGACCATTGGTCTCCACCAGAAGCTTCACATCGGCTGCAAAAAACGAGTAGATTCTGGACGTCCATTTTGCCACTAGAATACCATGAGAATGTAGTCGATTTGCAAGTCAGCACGTACTATTTGGCTCCTTTTGTTCCTCAGGGTCTTTCCCACCGCCAGACCCAACAGATTGAGTACCGCGGGACTGTCGAGACTTGTCGCTACCTTCAGAAGTGTGAATGCCCTGACTGTATTACCATGAATAGAGCGCACCGGAAACGGACTGTATGATGCTGGTAGCCTTCTTGTGGAGTGTTTTAGCGGCCTTGGATATGGAGTTTGAAGCCTTTGAGGCGACACTTGCCGCTCGCGTGCCTAGGGAAGGCATGATAGCGTGTCTGCGAGCACGAGAGCCTGGGCTTTTAAGTTGTTTTCCGTGACTGTTGTGGTTCCTGCTAGCCCCTACGGCTGCCAGGAACAATATCTTGCGCTTTACAAAGCATAGGGTGTAGTTGGAGGGGCAACAGGATTGAGGAGATGAGGGAATGAAGAAGACCGCTGGCAGGCGCTTACGACGGTGATATGAATCAATTCTTTTGACATCACTCCCGTATTGTCCGGACATTGGCCATATTTCTCAAACAGAGAGAATCCTGGCTCACTATTTAGATTCCATGCATACATGGCAGCATACTGAGCCTTCCGACTCATGAGTATACCCTGATCAGGTCCGGGTACGGCTGGGTACCCCTGACCACAGACCCGATGCCCAGACCCGGTTTACCCGACCTGGTGTCTAGCCTAGACCCAAGTACTCATTGAGCTTACCAGAATTTTAGGTGTTATATATACAGGTTATATATCCTATCACTTTAATCTCTTAATAACTTACGTGGAGGTGATACCATGTCTCCAATAACAGATATCTGCTTGATATTTGCCTGGGTATAGCTGATCACAGAAAGACCTATGTCCATTGTAAGAAGAATAGGAATTGCTGGATATTTATGGTTGAATAGTATTGGAGGCATTAAAAGCTGTATACCAAGATTTGATATGGCGCTATTTTGGGCAGGTAGTTGCCACCTGGAGCTTGTATGTCCTACTCCTCCTGCTTATTAGCAATGGATACATGATTCAGTAGTAGATTTTACTATTCAAATGTGGTTGGAGGGTGTCGGGCTACCTGTACACGGGGTTTTTTGACAGGGGAACCCCCGCTTCGGCCTCCTTCGGACCCTCCAAACGCATCCGAGGCGCATCCGACCGGCGCCCCCCTCGGACGCTCCGACCCACCCCGACCATTGTCCACGGCCTCCTTCACCCGCACAATCACCGATCCGTCAAGACCCTCCCAACGATCACCTTGGGACAGAGCCTGCGACGCCGCTCAGGCCTTCTGCGCTCTATGTCGGCAGTTACGGACGACCAGTATATAGTTGGCGACGACCAGTATATAGCTGGCGCCCTAGCAGCTTAGAGTTTCTTCTCTTGGGATCCTCCCCTGCTAGGCTTTCGTCGGAGTCTCCAGGGTTGCCCTCACATTTTTTTAAAACCAAGCCTTCTCATTACTAGAGTTAATGTTTTTTTAAAAATGTCTCTAATGTAGTGCCCTTGCTAAAAGGCGGGTTTTATATAGGGAAATGAGAGATCAAAAAGAGGTTTAACAAGTTGAAAGGCCATAGGGTGGGCAGTGTGGTAGCTACAAGGCCCCAGACCTGACATGTGGAAAATTCCTTAAGCATAAAGAAAATACTGAGTAGGGGAAAGGCCAAAAAAGATAAAAAAATGTTGATGCCAAGGTGCCAAGAAAGATACAGAGTTTGACAGTGTGGTGGGTTTTATTAAAATGAGGGGAAAACTTGTAAATTACTAATGTTTTTTAAAAATGTTAAGATGCTAATTACAAGGGATCTTTTTTTTAAAAAACACCTGTATATGCCTGGTCAGGTTAACGGGCGTTAGCAGGATGGGTCCATGAGTACATGGTTGATCTAGTTGAGCTTTGCGTTAACCTGCAGAGTTGGTAACACGACTCCTACTGCCAGTTAACAGCTCTATGCTGGCTGGCGACCACCCTCTCTCTGGAATTGAAGCAAAGGTGCTGCACCTGCACGTCAGATTTCTGGGAGCTGCTGTGTACTGCACTTTTGATATATTACTTATTGTGCCAGGTAGCATGCCTGCCCCAGAACATGTACAAGGTCCTAGGGGATCATCCAGAAGGCCACTGTGGCAGCAGTGAGACAGCTAATGAAGTGGGTGGGCAGCGCTGGAGGTGATAAGATGAAAAGGGATGTTCTCCTCATGGAGGAAAGCCTGCTAAATTAGGATGCTTGTAGAATGCAAAGATACTAGTAACTGGAACTTTGTTCTGCGCTGAAGGCTTAAATACTTAGTTCTGTTCAAGCGGCCCAGGGTGGATATATCAAGGTATGATTAAAAGGAGTTTGTATGGGTGTTCTTTATGATCTGGTGAAATATGGACTGCTTATCCTGGAATATTAATCTTGGGATGGGAAGTTTCACAGCTAACATTATTTATCTGTTTGCAAAGGTATGGCAGGATTTTGCTGGTTTTGATCATTATCATTCAGGAATTCTGTGCTTGTAGTGGTTAGGCCCGGCGTCCCCCACGGGACTTTGGGGTTTTGGATATGCGTGTCGAGTCATAGCGCCACGTTGCGTGTGCGTGTGCATGACGCACACGCACCCACGCCCACGGCTGTCGCCGGGTGCGTCCACGCATGCACGCCCGCGGGGAAGCACGCGGCGCGGGGACAATGGGAGGCCCGGATTAGGGAATGATGGTTCGGATGGCGTACGTGTTGGTGGCAGGCGGCGCTGTTCGGGGGTGGTGCGAGGTCCCACACGCGGCGTTCCTGCAGCCAACCCTGCGCCGGCCGGGCAGGCTGAATAGAACCCTGCGGGACCCGAGGAGGGCGCCGGGGCCCGGCGATCAGGGCGTTACGTGACGCGGTACCGGTGTGTCGGGACACAATAGCGGGCGCCCATATCGGGACGCGGGCGCTCCCACGTCAGACGCCACGCGTCCGGCGTGCGGCGTGCGGCGTGCGGCTGCGTCACGCGTGCTGCCTCCTTTCCCTCTTCCCTTCCCTCCCGCGACCCGTCGACACCCGGCGAACGCAGCGGTGCGCAACGAGCGACGCGCACGAGAGAAGAGAAGACGAGGGGGATAGCGCGCAGATACTGAGAGAGAGAGCGAAAAGAGGACAGGAGAGAGAATGCGATGCCGCCGATTCGCGGGCACACGTTTCTGTACACGTTCATCGCGGACGAGGAGGACGCGCGCGCGGAGGGGGCGCCTACAGAGCACACAGCGGCGGACGACGACGCGGACGGTGTGTGGCCCCTTCTTTTCCGTCGCCCACACACGCTGACCCCCCTGACCCCCACAGACACGGACATGCCCCCGCTGGTGGAGCCCCCCGCGCCGTCGCAGGCGTCGATGATGTCCGCGCTCGACTTCTCCGCCGTCGCCTTCGCCGCGCCGCCCTTCGCCTTCGCGCCCGCCTCCAGCGCCGTCTTCCCCGCCGACACGCCCACACCGACCAAGCACGCTGCGGCGCACATCCCGCGCCCGCCGAACGCGTTCATCCTCTTCCGCTCGAGCTTCATCCGCAGCCAGGCCGCGCACGCCGCGCTCGCCGCCGCGCAGGGCGGGGGCAGCAGCTCGCTCAGCAAGCTCATCGGCCGCCGCTGGCGCGACCTACCCCCCGAGGAGCGCGCGCGCTGGGAGGACAAGGCCCGCGCGGCGCAGGCGGAGCACAGGAGGCGGTACCCTGATTGGCGGTTCAGGCCCGGGAACGGCAAGGTGTGTTTTCGCTCTTTTTTTTTTTGTCCACACCCCTGTTTGGTCCGCGTGTGCGTGTGCGGGGAAACCCGGGGCCGTCGTCGTTCGCCTATTTCGTCCGCGTTGTGCTTGCGCGGGGAAACAAGCCCCGAGTTTCCCCGCGTCGCGCGTGGCCTGCTTCTTCCCTTTTCCGCTTCTTTTCATTGTCCACTTTCCGATCTTCTCCGGGGCACGGTGGTTTCCTGCGGGAGGAAACACACGGGCCACGCGGCGGCCGCATGTGTGGCGTGTTGCTTTCGCTGGCGGCCCGGCCTGGCGCGTGTCCTACATCCTCACTTCCCTGCTTCTCTCCCTTGTTCGTGTTTTTCTCTACCCTGCGTGCCCCCTGTCGCGTGCGCATTCCCTTTCGCGGCCCTCCGCTTGTTCTCTGAGTTCTCTGCTCTGTGTTGTCGTGTCGTGTAGTGTGGCCGCGCGCTAACCCCGCTGATGCAGAATGGAAGCGCGAGCAATATTAGTTCGCCGGCCGGTGGCGGTGGGAACCCGAAGGGGCGAAGGAAGGGCCGGATCAAGGACGGCGGGGCGACGCCGGACCGGGAGAAGGATGGGGAAAAGGAGCGGGAGAGGGAAAGGGAGGAGGAGGGCGAGGTGACGCGCGGGCGGCGGCCGGCGCGGGGGCGCGCGGCGGGGAAGGGCAAGGGCAAGGCGCGCGAGCCGAGCGAGGAGGTGCCCGCGACGGGCAAGGGGAAGGAGCGCGCAACTGCGCCCGAGGCCTCCCCCGACGGCGACGCTAAGCCGGGCCGCGCGCTGTCGGGCGAGCGCACGGCGAAGCGCCAGCGCCAGCGGCACGCGCCGTCGCTGTCCCTGTCGCTCTCGCTGTCGGCGTCTGCATCTGGGTCCCCGCTGCCGCACCCGCCGCCCACCCCGAGTCCGCTCGCGTCGCCGTTCCTGGGCCTGTCGCCGCCGCAGCACCGCCTGATGTCCGCTTCGGCGGACGCCTCGCCCGTGGCGGGGGCTGCGTATGCGTCGCCGGTGCCTGCGCAGGCGGGTGCGAGCCCGGCGGGTGCGAGCCCGGCGGGTGCGAGCCCGGTAGGTGCGGGCGGAGGTGCGGGCGGGGCAGGGGGGAGCGGGCTGATGCTGCCCCCGCTGACGCAGCTGTACAAGCGCTCGCTGAGCGCGCCGGCGAACGGCCGGGTCGGGATGTGGCCCGCGCCGCTGTCCCCGCTGGCGCCGGTCGCCGGGCCTGCCCCCGCCCCTGTGTTTGGGCCGGGGCCGGGCGTGGAGGGCCCGGGGGTGTACGTCGCGCCGCCGGCGTATGTGGAGCCGCAGCCTCCACAGGCGGAGAGCGACGCGTTCCCGCATCAAGGAGGGTTCCAGCACCACCCGCAGCACCGCCCGCGGTACCTCCCCGCCGCGGGCCCGGCCGCGGGATACGTCCCAGGCCACGGCCACGCGCGGAGGGACACGGTGTCCCTCCCGCTCGGGCCGCTCTACGCCCCCGCCCCCGCCCCGCCGGCGCAGGACGGCCACGCGCACCCGCACCCGGGCTTCGCGAGCGCGGAGTACGCCGGCCTGCCCGCGCGCGCAGGCGTGGTGGACGCAGACGCGCGGCGAGGATCTCTACGCCGCCAGCCCGAGTAGCGCGACTACGAGCAACAGCCCGCTCTCGCCCGGAGAAAGCGCGTGGGCGGACCGCGGAGTCAGTGCGTTCGCGGTGCGCGGCGCGCCTGCCCTTCCGTTCTCTGCTGACCCGTATGTGTTTATAGGAGTACACCCGCGCGCCGTCGCCCGTGCGCGCGCTGTCGCCGCCGCCCTCGCCGTACGCGTCCCCGCCGTACGCGTACGCCGCGCGGCCCCCGGCCAGCGGGAGCGGGGGCACGAGCCCCGCGATATCGCGCTTCTCGACGCTCGCGGGGTGGGCCGGCGGCGGCGGGGCGGGCGCTGCGACCCCGGCCGCCGTGCCAGTGTCGCAGGTTGCAGCTGCAGCCCAGAGCCCCGCGCCGCAGCTGTCGCCCCCGCCGCCGCCGGTGCGCACGTCCGGGTGGTACCGCCCGCCGCCGCCGCTGGGGCTGCAGACGCGCAGCTGGGACGGCGGCGCGGGCGGTGGCGCGGGGCCGTCCTCGGGGTGGGGGCACGGCCACGGGTATGGCTATGGTGCGTACGAGGACGGGTAGCGCGCCGCCCTTTCCTCTTTGACAAACAAAAACAAACAAAAACAAAACACTCATACACGAGTCCTCTCCGGTATTATCTCCCCTTCCTTCTCTCGCCCCTCTGCGGATTCTGTGGATCTCCTGTGTACCTTCTCCCTACTATCTGTGTCTGTATGTACGTATATATCCGTGTAGATCCCTTCCTCCTTTCTTTCCTGCTCATGATGTATCTATATATCTCGCACGGCCCGAACAAAGGTCCTTGCCTTGACCAACAGGAATTTGCTTGGTCCAGAGCACACCATCGTACGACTTTTTGGCCTGGGATTTTGCATTTCTCCCCTTGCAATTCATTTATTCGCAACATAATGCACTGCTCACAAACCCGTCTTTCTCACGAGGACAGGGGGCGCTGCTGGTGCGATTCCAACAAGCCCAGCCACCTCATCCCAACATTATATTGAAACTGCAGAATATAATTTTGGACGTGGGACAACCGTGGATGGGGGTCCTCAAACTTGAGCACAACGATAAGCAACCGGGATATTGGACGGGATAGAGCCTGCTGTGCTATATTGGTGCTCCCACAGCTTGTTGACAGTGTTGTTTCTCTTGGGTTCTGTCAGGGGAACCTCCCTTTCGGCCCGGAGACGCGCCCGATTCCGGTCCGACTCCGGTTCCGACTCCGGTCCGGCCCTCCATCTCGCCCGCACAATCACCGATCCGTCAACGCCCTCCCGACGGTCGCCCTGGGACCTCGCCTGCGACGCCGCCCAAGCCTTCTGTGCCCGACAGCGGCAGCTACGGACAAGCAGTATATAGTCAGCTACCTAGCAGGCGGACCCTCAGAGTTTCTTCTCTTTGGATCCTCCCCTGCTAGGTCAGCTTCATTTGTATTCGCTTACCAATGTTCACGCTTTGGATCCTCCCCTGCTAGGACCTTGATCTCAGGCCTCCGGGGTTGCCCTTACAGCAGAAGAAACTCTCTACGGGATCAACCGGACAAGATTGCCAGGTTTGACGCTGACTCAGGCTTGGAGTACAAGTCCGTTCCGCCCTCGTCACCGCCCCTGCCACTTGTCCCCTCCTCCTCAGGGTGAGCAAAGTGCCCACTTGGTCTGTTCGAGGCTTTTGGTGACAATGGTTGTATTCCATCCTTCTCGGTGGCCTGTCGTGAAGACCCTAATGCATAATGTGTTGTTACTGTGTTGCTATGTCCACTCTGAGTAATGATCAGGGATGATTTAATTAAGGTGTCTAACCAGATATCTTATATAATTGGAGTGTTGGGTGAGTAGATAGGCCTTCTTTGGGCATAGAATCTATGTCTTCACCAATTCTGTATCAATTTGAATGATTGCTAAGTATACTGGCGAGTAAACAGTGACCTGGGCTTGAGATCTTCTGATTTGATCACATATATCGTGAGATTATGATATATACATATATATATAATATATCCTATCACTCTAATCCCATAATAATTCTTTGAGAAGTGAGAGCTCCCTAATAGAATAAGAGTAGGAAGCATAGAGTCCCTCTACAAGATATATTCTTCACACCATATTGTATGCATGGGAGATCAGCTAGTGATAGGTTAGTATGTAACACCTCTATTAAGCTACTACTATCAGTCACTTAATGAAACTTTTTTATATAGTCAAAATACACAACTTTGATTTGTGACAAGGTATGCCATTCTCTGATGATTCTGCTATTAAATGGTAAAAATTTCCTTCTTAAGAGATGATTTCCCAGCTGCGGCATAGCTGGGGAATTCTCGGCGGACACATGTGACACCCAGCAAGATCCATGATCAATTCCATCTGTCATCCATGTTTGGACGCAAATGGGTCCACGCTGGATCTAGAGTGTCTCGAAACCAGCAGGAGACCCAGGTAGCTGCCTTGTAGCTTACCTGCTGTAATGTATATAATCATGTACATGCAGTAGGGCAGAAAGTGTCACAATTTACTAGTATGTTATTGCAGCGAGTAATTTAAATACAGGTTTACTCTGTACAAGTACTATTACAACATTGTCCCAACCTACTGGCACAGCCTCTGCATTGCTATTGTTGAGCACACTATTGGTCCCTTCACGTTTGTGACAGCATTGTTGCTGGGGGTTGGTGCAGAAACTGGATTTCGGTTGACAGCAGGCGTGCGGATGCAGCAGGAGGGGGGGAGTGGACTCTGTGGGTGCAGAAGAAGTAGCGGGTGGTGCCATGATTCTGCAGGTGGTGCAGTGGAGGTCGTGGGTGGGGTAAAAGATGTAGCGGGAGGTGAAGAAGAGGGCATGGTGGTTTCAGGACCGGGATAGCTAGGGCTGGCGCAACCTGTGCTTAGAAGGTCAGCCAGAACAGAGAGCTTGATGCTCGCCACTCTTGTGCAGAATGTGGTCAACAGCAACAATGGCTGCAACAACCATGGGCAAGCGCAATGAGCGTGGCCTCCTCGGAGAAGCGCACACAGTCGCCGGTGTAGTCGAGCTTGAAACCTGCCTTGGAGCCCTTATCAAAGTCCTTCTTGAGTGCATGCCATTCCACAGCCCAGGCTCTGCGTGCAGAACTTGCAGCCGCACATGAAGCCCCAGGTGTTCTGGATGTTACTCTGCGGCACAATGGTTAGTCAGTCGCCCACTGAAACAGCATAGGCTCACAGTTGCAGCTGTGCGGAAGAGGAAGCAGGTGAAGGGGAGATTGAAGGGAGAGGAGAAAGAGAAAAGTGGTATGACTTGTAAATTTTTGCTGATATGGGAGTGAGATCATTTGATCTGCTCCTCCCGCTGTCCGTTGCACATTTCACCAGGACTATTGATCCCTAATTTGAGATATTCAATCAACTTCCTCATCTAGCCAGCCCTAAAGTGAGCTGAGAAATTTTGTACAGAACCTTCCACAACATTTGTTAGGGTGATAAACCTCTATGACAAGAGTGCTAAGAACATGCCACCTAGATTCCAGCTGAAATTTCTAGCTGTGCAAATCTGCTGGAAATTAGGTGAAAGCCACCTAGAGCCAGATAGAGGACTATCTGGAACCAGCTGGAATGTCCAGCTAGATCACATCTGCAGGCACTTTGGTGGTGTATGTTATGCCTGGATATGTGTAACACCTTTGATTATCAATATGTATAGTATAACATAGATGTATATAACAAACCCTTAGATATCATATACCAGTGTCACATGTTATTGTCTAAGTAAACCTGACAATATCTAGAAGTATGGGGCTATATGTAAAATTGTCATCAATAGTATTATACCAATTACAAAATGTTACACCAACCTTATATGACAGCACAAGGAATGACTTATAGCCTGAGGTCTTACAGATGGTGCAATTTTATAGCCCCCCTTGATTCAATATTCACCTCAGGCTACCACCCCCCCTAAACCTCTTAGGGTTAAATACCCCCCCCCCTGACATCTAACCTAAGAGGTTCCCCTGTATGGGTTTAACCCACAGGCTATGACTGTTCCCATCACCATGGGTGTCTCCACCCCCTGTCACATCACACCAGCTGTTTAGTGCCTGTGGTTCACCCATCCTGAGCAAATAGTATTAAATCCATTTTAAGCTGTATACTCTGACAAGTCTTAAGAAACACAAAGTGGCCTGCTTCGCGGAGCCGCTTGGTATGCTCCACCACAGATTGGTTGTTGTTTGGATGCAAACGATACCCCTCAGCCTTGATCTTGGCAGCAATTCGAGCAATATCCCGCATCTTGACTTGCTGGTCTCGGTTCACTGTGCTAAGACGGCCGACCGTTATTGACTGCAGCTTGTTGCTCTTGATACTCTTGTACTACTAGGCATCAGCTTTGGCTCTATCAAGACTAAGGAACACTCACAATGGCCTTTGTGAACTCGCCATCAATCAGTCGTCTTTCAATCTTCTTCCTAACCTCCTTCGACAAGGTCATATATGGCAGGTTTGACGAGCACACAGTCAGTCCTGGGGTAGGTCTTCATTGTTATCAGGGCACAATAGCCTCCAACTAACTCTTTCTTGAAGTCTTTGGGTTTGATTTCCAGGTGCTTCCGCTCACATTCTGTGGCGCAGGAGTCACCATCGCGTGCACAGGTGTAGGTGGTCTGTACGAGCTATCACCGCTGGAGTGCAGCATCTGACATGCTTCTACCAGCCACCAGCGAAACTCCACACATCGCATTTGGCGTTGTTCCAACAACCATGCCTCAAAGTGGCTAATAGACTCAAACAATATTGAATAACCATTGATCTGATCAAAGGCCAGGCCGTAGCGAGTGGATGGGTCAAAAGTGGAGACAACGGCAGGCGATGGGACGTGGTTGGCAGGAGTGGCAGAGAATGTGAGGATGGTTAGACCTGCAGTGGCTAATGCCACTGTTAGCAGAGGCAGCTGGGATGCTGTGTCGGCTGTAGCAAGCAATGGGCTTGGTGCTGGCTTGAGGGAGTCCGGGTCGCAGAATCTGCTGGTGGAAGAGGCTATTGTCCACGTTGATGTTCGATTGCCAAAATTAAGCAGTGTCCTGTGATGGGAAAGCTTCTCGATATGGAAATCGATAACGTGACCCCCGCCACTTGTCAGGATTCTTGCGTGCCTTACTTAAGTTTGTAGAGAAAAGTCTTATACTCTTGGTGACCATGACAACACACAACCAGCAAAATATTTGATGGTAACCTGGGTTGCATTTGATGAAATCATGAAAGTGCAAGGAAAGCCATGCCCCCAGTCGTCACGGACCACGATGGTAAACAACAAGAGGCCCTCATAACCTGTGGTGTTGTGGGTGGCGTCAATGAAGGCAAGACGGTTGTGGCCCCAACGATGCCAGCATTGACGCTGATATTTTGTCCGCAGGATCGGCACAAACATGTCTTCTGAAAGACTTGACTCCTCCGGCGCCTGGTTGCATTTTGACTTCAAGAAGACATGGTGCCCCGCCTTGACGTTGGACATGTAACAAGACCGATGTATCATCCGATCTATCAAGCCGAATGCCCTTGTGCTTCTCCTGGCGTGCAATGGCATTG